CCAAAAAATAATAAGGTCTATCATACGCTCTTTTTAGACATTCTTATCTTGTACCAAAAATAAGAAGATGTATCTTTTGATCAACAAAGAACAATTTTTTTGAATCTCAATTATTTTCGTCTTCAAGCAATAAAATCAACAATGACTGTTGATTCAACCTTTATCAAGCAAATTCAATTAAGTATGTTATCTGATCCTCTTATTGATGATGTCAAGAATACTTCTTCTAAGTCCTATGACACTTCAAAGTTTATCCTGCAACAAAAGATTTAGCAAATGGTTTGTCAGAGCTATATGCAATAATGAAGAGATAATTAAAAGATGCTCAAGAATGACAAAAGACCAATGCGGATGCCTATTGCAAGGAGAATTCACAATTCAACATAGGTGATAAGGTATGGTTACTTCGTCGCAATATCAAGACTACTTGTGCTTCTAATAAATTGGATTATCATAAACTAAGACCTTTTTCTATTTGTAAACAAATCAATCCTGTTGCTTATTGATTATATCTACCTGAGTCTATGAAGATCCATCCTATATTTTATACATCCTTTCTTGAGTTGTATAAGATAGTGAATATCTTGAGAAGAAGACAAATGCCACCTCTTCTTATAAAAGTGAATAATAATCAATAATTTGAATTACAAGAAGTTAATTTCATGTAGTAGCTTGTGGAACAAGCTAACTATGAAGTGCATGTATAGATAATTTGCCTTGCAATTAAGACATGTGGCTAGAAAAGTCAACATATGTTACAGATCCTATAGAATATTGCCACATAGATCTTAGTTAGAGAGTATATGTAGAGGAAAGAGTGAAACCCTCTTCCCTCTTGTCAATGTCTCTCTAGTCTTTAGTCTTGTTTCAAGACTTTTTAGTCTTCTTGTTTTTGGCAATAGCCATTTTAGTTCATTATATCATCTTTGAGTAACTTTTTAGTTCCTTTGAGTGACACAAGAGTGTATTGAGGATTTTCTTTCTTCGAGATTCATGTCCTTGATAAGGTCCTATATAACATTGTAATGTAGTTCTTAATTAGATAGTATATATGGAGATAAAAATGAAGCTTTTTTTACTCTTATCTATTCCTTCTTTATTCTTCAACTTATTTAAAGAGTCTCTAAATTTTTTTTATATTTAATAATAGCCATTTTAATTTAATATTATATAATCTTTGAGTAATTATCTTCTCTTTTATAGTAATACAAGAGTATATTGATCCTTTGATTCTTTGTGATTCATAGCCTTAACAATTAGACACTTGTCATGTAGATTGTAGGATATTGCTACATAGTTCTTTAATAGATAGTATATATAGAGACAAGAATAAGGCTTTGTTCTTTTGTATCAATTTTCTTTCTTGCTTCTAGTCTAGTTTCAAGAATCTCTAATATTTTTGTTTTTGGTAATAGTCATTCCAATTTTTTCTTGAATATATAATTTTTTTCTCTTATCTTTATTTAATATATATTTCACTTGTTTATTTCTAACCTTAAAATTTTTGTTTTTAGCAACTTATAAAACTATTAGACTTCTCTTATAATATTTCAACTCATTGGTATCAAATTGTAATAATTAATAATAATTATTCAATTAATTTTTTTCTTATATATAATGACATTCTAATCATATTGGATATTTTTAAAATTTTCATATAATTATGCTAATCAATAATATTTGATTTTATCATTTACCATGCTAATATATATATAATTTAAAATAAATAAAAAATATTCTATAATTTAAATAATTTTATAAATTTTAATTTTTTTTTATTAATTTTTTTTCTAAAATAAATATTTAATATGAAGCTTTTAAATATTTATCAAAAATTATATAAAAATATCTATTATAGAATTTTAAATAGGCATATGATACTTACAATGAATTAGGTATGTATTTTATTGCTATAATCTTTTAAATTATATGTAAATATATATATATATATATAATATTATAATAAAATAATATTAGTAGTATTAGTAATAATAATAATAATAATAATAATAATAATAATAATCTAATTTTTATAATGATATTATGATTTTTTGTATTTTATTTTTATTTTATCACATATTGATATATTAAATATGCTTAATCTACAATCATCTTATTTAGTTTTAATAATCTTTTATTTAAAATTTTTAATCAGATTTTATATATGTAATTTTTTTGAAATAATATTAGATAATAAAATATATTTTTTATTATTAAAAAATCACTTAATGAGTTACAATTCTTACTTTAACATCTCAAAAATATATTTAAAAAACAATATATATATATATATATATATATATATATTACTCACTTATGTCTAAAATTACTAGTTGCAATATCTTAGAACAAGTGTAATTTTTTTAAATGTCATGTTTTTTTTTACTTTATTAATTTGGCAATATTATTTTTCAATGATTTTGCTTTAATCATATTTTGTCAAGGAAGCAAAATAAGGGACTAAGAGATTAAGAAGTTTAAGGAAAATAAAACTAGATATAATACTTATAAGAAGATAATATTTGGATTATTGTAAAACTTGTATTGACAAGATAAAAAAATTTCTTATCTTATTTCTTTATAACATAAATACTAGGTCGTCTAGAAGACTTTAAAAAAAATTTATAAATTATAATATATCCTAGAAGTATAAAGAGTACTTTACAAACTATTTTAAGTACTTAGAATTAACTTAGACTGCTGTAGAAATTTTTAGAAGCTTATTAAAGGTTATTTAGAACTGTTGGACAATTATTGAATATTCTTAAGTCTTATGAAGGTTATTGATAATTCAAAATATTATATAAATATTATATATAATGATTAATTAAAATATTCATGTATACATGTTCAACTTGATGTATTTTAAAAACACCAAAACTTCTATACATTTTTTTATATTTTTATATTTTTAATAAAAAAAATCACTTTTCACATATATATTCACATATGTTTGAGTTTAAGGATTTTTTTTCATGTTTTTTATTTCAAAAAACTATGATGCAATAAACATAATATATAATCAATAGTTATTTATAAGTATGTTTACATTCTGTCCAAATTTCTGCATTTATTTTGAGAAACTGTGAAATAAAATAAGGAAACCTATCAAGAATTCAATAGTAAAGAAAACCAAGTAATAATTAAATGTAAATGTGTGGAAGCGTTTTGACTCAGATTAAATATCGTAAAATATTTGATTTTAAGAAAATAGTTTTATAATTATTTCGAAGAATGATTAAAGTTCAAGTTATTTCTCAAAAACTACAGTCAATACACCTATTCTACATATACAAGAACATGTAAAATTATGAAAAAATTCAAATCATCCGATTAAGTTGATTTGTTGTGATATTTACAATATTAAACGACTCTTTACATAGAATTTTCATTTTCTATTAGACCTAATGGAAAAAATTAAAATGAATATATAAAAATGTGATACACATGTTAGCCAACAATCCAAATATGATTGTAATAACCTACCTAGACATCACATTACACAACAAAGAAACTTCCCAATTATTGCTTAAACCTCAAGAAACCAAGCAGCTTGTCAATATCCTCAAATCCAAATAATGAAAACGATGAAATTCCATTTTAAATTAACAATAATAATAACAATGATGTGATTAAATAAATAAATAAATGTAGTTTTAAAATTCTACATGTTAGATTTGATTTTGGAATAATCATACAAATAAAGATATTTCATTCTTAACAATCAGATAGTAAAAGCACAACCACTTTTTGCTATTTCATTTCTATTCTATGACGAAATATTACTGTTTATCTACAAAATGAAAACCATTACATTGTATTCAAATTAATTCAGCTTTTAATTGTTTGTTTGTTTGTTTATATTCTTGGTCCTGATGTATTTAAGGCCCATGAAATTTATCTTTATCAAAGAGCTAACAATTTTTCACATACCAACTTTCGTTTTTGTTGTAAAAATCCCTCAATGTGTTGTTTTGGATAGTATAATATATTTTCAGGATATTAAACATTTAGTTAAATGATTAAAACTAAAATTATATTTAATTCTTAAGTTTTGGGTGCCTGTACTTTCAATTGAAGATGTTCTGTGTTTGTCACTAAAAGTGATATCCATAGTCAATGGTAAGACTATTATGAACAACTACATGATAACTTTAGAGTTTTAAATTTCAAGAATCATAATAGTCATGCTCTTAGTACAACAAAGTAAGTTTCAAAATTCAACAGAATGTGCATTTCTTTAGTATTCTGCATTTTGACTTTATTTTTTGGTGGTATTCATGTTTGAAATACAACAGAAAAGTCAATACACATGATATTAAATAGGTATTACTCATACCCAATAACAAACAACTACTCATGCCCATGTATGTTCATGCTTTTGAAGAAACAAGTCATGAAGTACATACACTCCTTTCACAATGTAAAAAAAAAGAAAAAAAAAAAAAAAAAAAAAAAAAAGAGAGAGAGAGAGAGAGAGAAAGGGAAGGAAGGTGGTGGTTTTCTAAATGTGGGTAAGCCTTGAACGAAGCAAGAAATGAAGTTCTTGTCTAAGTTAATTGACGTGGGCCTAATTCAAAAGGCAATAGCCCTGCCATGCGCTCCTGCTGCCTGCACAGCCCACAATTACTGAAGCCCACAATGAGCTTCCGGAGAAGCTGTTAAAGTTTTTACACGTGCAATCACCCACCTGGACTTCTACTCACGATCATGTTTTTGTTAAGAACAGAAGCTGCAACTGTTACTTTCTTCTCGAGAAAAGAGGATAGAGAGAATACGGACAAGCAGCGAAGGATTGGAACCAGTGTCGATGGGTACAACCCTCTCTTTACGTGGTAGAAAAACGTGTTTTTCAAGGCACCAAAAAGTGTGCACGTTGAATCAAATGAGCATATACTTGATGTATGCGCTGTGAGGGTGTGGAGTGAGGAGGCGTGGGCATGATGGGTTGCTAAGGAGGAGATGAGAGACATGGTTGGAGAGGATAACTGCAAGTGGTGTGGTTACAATAGTGGAGGATAAATTAGTGTTTTTTTTAGAGAAAAAAAATAAAGCCTTAGGCATGGCGGATAAGAATCCATTATTTCAGTGGGTAACTAGCCAGAGGTCTCTCGAGAAGGGAAGGACTAGGAGTGCTGCTGCTAATATCAGAGAACCAATGTGGGGGGACCCGAGGGGACCTTGCCTCTTCGCCATCCTTGTCGCTCAAAGTAAGAAATACAAGTGAAAAGAGTTGCTTGCCACTCACACTGGGGGTTTTGAACACCAGTGGAAATCGCAGGCTCTCTCTCTCGGGGAGAGTGCCGGGAGGCAAGCTCTGCCTTCCGCAGTAGAGATCTGGATTAGCAGATGAATAGTGACAGGGAGTTCAGAGCGGCTCCCTGGTAGGCACGAACACGCTTCTACTACTGTAAGCTGGCCTCTGCCTACAGCTTTAAAGATCACCTACGTCTGGAAATGTGACAAAACATGATGAATCGAGTCTCAGCGACCAATTGAGTAATGAGCAGATTCTAAAAGCCTGCTATTGGGAACATGAGATCGTTGACACCGGAGGGCTACTGGGGGAGCTGCAAGGACCTTCAATGAAGCGGAGAACGCGGTGACCGGGGCCTCACTGGCGTCTTCGATGGGCTCACTCTGCACGAGAAAGACACAGACCACACCACGTTGTTAACAAACATACACACATTTGAGGTATCTATGTTCTGAAAAACTACTCCATTGAGCACATACACGACACGTTCGTGACAAAAGATTCTTGGGTTATTTTACTGGGAAACAGTTTATGCTAAAGCATGCGTGTGAACACACCATTAAGTCCTCGGCTAGAGGAGGAGGAGGCACACCTGATTGGAAGAGAACCTAATATTGCGCCACTGCAATTCAAAGCTGCCATTGCACTTTCCGCCTGCAAAGAGATAGCCACTTCAAATCAATGCAACAAACATGGGATTCAACACACTGAGGTTACTACATACTTTACTAGTTACTCGAAACCCCTTTTAAAACCTATTAAGTTTCAATCCTGCCCGAAACCTTGCGTGGGCAGTTTTATTCAGGACTCACACAGAATTCACGTCATTGTCGATGCTTAACAATTAGTCCCAGCACAAATCCAATCAACACAAGGTCTCCCAAAAGAGAATAAAAACTCACCATCACGAACTCGACAAACGCAATCCGAGTTGAGTGATGATAATCCCCCAATAATCTTAGCCGAGCGACCTTCACATTCCATTACGCATCCAGATTAACATCCAGTGGATACATGATGAGACCACAGGAATGGATAAAGCTAAAGAACAGAATTCGACAATGCAGTAAGCTCATCGACTCAAGAATTTATGGAGGGCATATGTCTGGTTACCTCTCCACACAAAGATTCAAAGAAGAGCTTTACATCGGCCTGCGACACCTGCATCAAGTCACTGCTCGCTCAGAGCCCCGGCCATACATTACAATGTGGTACTAGCATGAAAACTTCCCACCACCTCGTGAACCATGGCACAACGAATACACAACCATGCCATAACTTTTCACAACAGATTAGACAGTAAATGAACAGGGCTAATTGGCAGCCTAGAAGAATGAAAGTCTATTTCACTCCACTTCACCTTCTTATCAATATTTGTACAGTAGATGGTACGTGCACACATTTCACGCTCGTCTTCAGACTGAAACATAGAGAAGTTGTGTTAGAACAACCACCTTATTGAAGCAATTTCCAGGATTGTTCACATACAACTACGTCACTAAAAATTTATCAAAATTCTTTACTACATCAGAACTAAGAGTACTAATCCTCAATAACCAAACAATCTTTTAAAACTTTGATAGAATTTAATTTAAAGTAAATAAATGAATATCCTTCAAAATCCTAGCTCCGGCTAGCAGACCAAGATGATGCTCACCCGCGGTAAAAAGGTCGGGTTAACAGGTACAATGGCTGTCTTGGATGGAAGGACACGAACAGGGTAATATCCCAACATCGTACCGGCAAGACTCAATGCTGCCCTGGCGCCCTCTGTTGAGGATGGACGCATTACATCAAACATGATGCGAAGAAAATCGTTAGTTTATTTATCCTCAAAAATTGACCTTCTTTTGTACATATTCGCTTATAAACAATTGAGTTGTTTATGCACTCTCATTTGATGTCTTTACACCGCTGAAATAGAATCATGGATAAAATTGACTTTCAAGGCTTTCAGAAACTGATCAAAGCTGAAAAATGATTATGTGAGAAGGCAGACATCTGTACCTTCGTCAGTGAACTCCACGAAAGCAAACCGAAGCACAGAGTTTGGGTCCCCGCAAACACGGCAATCTACAACCTGTAATCCACAGCAATTCGTAAGATAACCCCCATCGGCAACGCGTAGGTACTGGGTCTAAAACCAATGGTTCATTAACACGAAATTCAGGAAGGAGTCGACTGAACCACTCTACCTATCTCTCCGTCAATCGTCGAACCAAAATCTGAACACGAAAACCAATCCAAACAGATACTGGGCTACAAATCTAGAACCTAATATTGGATGGCCTCCAACTGACATGAGAGCATCAATCGACAGTCTTTAAGAGACTTATCGAAAAGTCCGAAGTCCTGCGTGAAACAGTCCTAAGAATGCCTCGAATCCTTGGAGTAACTACGATCGAACCTCCGACTCTATACTTTCATCAATATCCTAATTTAATATTGTAAATATGTTTTGGTACATTTACTACCATTATCACTCGTTACAACGATCATTACTAATTCTCATTCAAAATTAGATCAAAAGTGGACATTTTTAAAGACAACCACATCACTACATGATCAACCAGGATATCTGAATATTCCATCGCTCGAGTAAATCTGAAACCCTTACAAAACTTAAAACGAAAATTGGGATAGCAGGGACCTTGTTAAGTTTTAGAAATGGGAAAAAAAAAAGGTCTACCTGGCCACATGTGATGAAGAGAGCTGCCAGTTGCTCCTCTGTTACCTGTGGCACATATCGAAAGCAGACAATTTCCAATAATATATTAACAACCAAAACTAATTGAAAAAACTAAAAACTTTCGGCAGAAAGGAAGATTGGGGTGAAAATATCAGTTTCGACTTTGTGCCACTAACCGCTCTCACTCGATCGTAATAAAATTCAGGAGAATTCCAGTAGGCTGTCTTCCCACGTAGGTATTTCGAATCAACCAGCATTGGACAGCGGAGTTCGCACAAGTAGCCACAACTTCAATGCCATTGTAGAATAGCTACAGTATCATGTAACGTAAAAAAGGATCTACAGGTATGAACCGGAGCGTGTTATGCCGTGCTAAAGACTAATTCCAAACCAGGTTTTCAAAAGATTATATTTTCAACTAACATTTGACCCCGTCAGAAAGCTCAGAGGACGCCGAGAAATAACAATTTGATCCATCCATTCAGCTCGAATTGAATTGCAGGCCAAGCCCCCTGAGTGATTCATAGCGTAACCTCGAACCCATCTGGTAGCAAACGGAAACGTAAGCTGTACCGTCAAAGCGATCTTATGCGAACTCCGCAGTTGAGTTATGTCTCGTTGGAGGGCAACCTCTGCATTGCATTTTTCACTCTGAACTCCTACAGTAGCCCCCGGGAACTTCAAATTATGGATCTAAATAAAGCTGACGATCCAGTTTACAGAACTGCTGGAGGGGAAAGAAGATCTCGAACCTGTTGATCTATGTCGGACACGTAAACCGTTCTGCGGATACTATCCTCCCGCTGCGCACGACTTGTCCGACTATTGACCCGCCTCTTGTTAACCTGGTTAAAACCATTCTTCTTCTATCACACGGCCAACACCATGGATCAGAGCCCAAGAAGAAGCTCCCAACGAAGGCCCAATGCCAAGGAAGGAAGAGGAGACTTGGAAGTTTTGCCCTCCCATTTGACATTGCATGTCAATGTGTGGCGATCACAGAAGAGAAGGAAACAGGGAATGCATTACCAATGGCAGAGGGGAGGAGAGAAGAAGCAGAAGAAGCAGAAGAAGAAGAAGAAGACCCTACCTTGCGAGGTTGACCTTTGGAGGAGGCAACCGACGAGGGCGCGGTAGTGCTGGCCAAATCCGCGTGGGAGGGAGGAACAAACTCCTTGGCCAGGGGATTTAGCTTCGTGAGCAGGTCCTCGAGCTCTCTCATGCTGTCGTTGCTCACATTGCTTCGCGCATCCAGGGTATGCCCTTCGTCATCACCCCCGTTGCTCCCGTTCTCTGCTTTGATGTGCCCATTCACGCCGTTGGCTCCGTTGGCCCGGTTGGACCGCACCACTTGCGGGTGCTGCCCTTGACCATGACCCTGTCCTCCCGATAGGCCAGGTTTCTGAGGAGCGGAACTGGCGTGTGCCTGATTCTGGGATTGGTGCTGCTCCTGGCTCTGCCCCTGTTCTCCCTGCTGGTGCTGCTGCGGCTGCTCATACTGCACCTGCTGATACTGCTGTTGCAGATGTTGCTGCTGCTGCTTCTGATGCCGCTCCCGCTCCTCCAACGCCGCTTGCTGTTGATCATACAGCTGATCGGCTTTGCTCTCCGACGAAATCTGCGGATAGTTCCTTGTCAGGGACAGTTGCCCCATATTCATGGCCAACCCTATCCCAGCATTGTCCGTCACTGCCATTTCCGCTCGACCCCCCTCACTTTCCACTTCCCTCTCCCTCCGGCGCTCCACTCCGCGCAATAACCTTACGGACTCTCACCTCTGTCCTCGATACTCCTCCTCCTCCTCCCTTCTTCTCCAATTCTACACTTGCCCCTCTTTCTCACATCTATGTACACCCCTTCCCTTCCTTCCCACTCAAGCTCTCAACCCTCGTTCCTTCCTTCCTTTCCTTCCTGCTTGATCCACTCCCGTCCCCCTCCCTCCCTCCCTCCAAGGTCAGATCCGACACTCCCGAGCTCACCCCCAACTCTCTGTTTTATTCCAACCCCAGCTCTGAAAGCTGCACACCAGCACCCCCCCTCCCCAACTCCCAACAACCCAGCAAGAGAGAGAGAGGAAGAAGAGAGAGAGGAGCCGAAAATAGCGACACGCACGCCCCGAAACAAAAAAAAAAAAAACAACGCACAAGACCGAGACGAATGAAGAAGAAGAAGAAGACGAAGACGAAGACGACGAAGACGGACAGGAAGGAAAACGAAAAGGAAGACCCATGGGTGGGGGGGGGCAGACAGACCCCCCCCCCAACCCACTGCTACTACTCACTAACCCGGCTACTCGCACATCACTAATCCCCCAGCTGTTCCTTCTCTTCTTCTGATTCATTTCGTCACTCTCTCTCCCAAATCGCGGGCTCATCATTTTACTAATCCGACTCGGTAATCTTGTGTGTTGTGGCGACCGGGGGTGTCGTTGTTCCACCCAGTGGCGAGTTGGGGAGCATTGCTCTTGGCCCTAGTGGGGGACGTTCCCGGGGGAGATCGTGGAGGGGAACGGAGGAATAATGAGGGGTAACACCAGGTCATCGCGACTGCATGGGGGCGAGTAAGACAGGGGGCAGGGGGGAGGGGGAAAGTTACTTCCGAACTGGAGTTAGAACGGTCATTGGCTAATGGTTGCCGAGTTCTGGTAAAATTAACCTCTGGTTGTGGGAGTGATTAGTCGGCAATTAGTCCCCCCTTAATCACCTCATGCCAAACATAGCCCTTGGTTTACTCGCAACTAATCCAACCCAGCCTTCTTCGCGCGGGTCCAGTAAAAACGGGATTGCTGTGTAATCGGCAGTGTGCCCAAGGTTAATTTTGTAGCGATTAATTCATCCGATGCAATGGTGGGTAAATTTGAAGCCCACGTGTCGCATGACGGATCCATCTGGGTAAACTGGAGCCACAATCAGGGCACGAGATTGGGTAAAATAACCGCAAGTCCTGCCAAAAGTAAAATCGCGGTAAATCTGCGATCGTGTGGTAAATCTTAAAAGGCGGTAAAAGTGGTGGCTTCCAAATCCAAGCCACATCTTATGAGTTCATCAATTACATGCTGAGGAGGAATTGGCCCCACGCTCGCCTCATGGATGGATGTGGTAATCCTACGCCACTGACCTCTGTTCGTTCTGCTCTTACAGGGCCCCTTTGTTTCTTTCATTCCCTGGACCTGGAAAATCACTTTAGAAAAGTGTGCATGGGTAGCGGATGAAGGCTATGTCATCCACCTCCGTTTGTAGGCCAGAATCCTTAATAAATTGGTAGAATATTATGTATTATTTCTACGATGCCAAGTATCAATTTGCAAAGACAATGTCCTCTAGGGGCAAATATAGAATGTTCTTCATAAACTTCTTTATTTCTTTTATTTTACTTATCATTCTTGCTAATTGTTTGGATTTTCATATCCGGGTCTTGCTTGATAAAATAGTTTGAGCTTTACTACTCCATGGTTTTATTATAACATGATTTTGTGAAGAATATCATCGGGTACAGAGTTATGTTATCTCTCTTGGAGTAAGGTTACCATTCTACACCCTTTAGATTTATACTTTTTGCAAATGAATTGATTCTAGCTGACTCACTGTAGTAAATTAATAATTAATGATAAATTCGGGTGTTTGTATTACATTGTCAAAAAAATACATTATATTTGTTGTTTATTTACCTAAGTAAAATTAGTGATAGATACATTACTAAATGGCAACACGAAAGACTGATGCACTTCTAATAACTCAAGATGATAAGTGTGTTCGGACAAGATGATTGTATTAATAGTTTTTTCCCGTTTATAATTTGAGTAAGATAATTCTAAAATTTTACCTTAAAACCAAATAAATATGAGTATTTTCAATAAATAACATCTGTACATTAGTGCTAATGCAGTGCATTATTTTTCCACCACTCTGAATCATGTGGCCACTATGTTTTTGACATGCAAAAAATCCGTGGATCTATTACACCACAAAGAAATCATTAGAAACTTTGTCATCAAACATTACAATGATATTTTACAAAGCTTAATAAAAACAAAAGTGTCAGAGCCCATCAAAAAACGATTATCAATCAATTTATATTATTTTTTTCACAAAATAAAAATAAGAAGGAGAAAAAGAAGAACACACACATGCACAAAATCTGACTTATTTCACTGACATTCCTGAGAACGAAACATTCTTTCTGACCACCTTATAAATGGAATATTTATATAGAAAAATAAAACCTTCGAAATTTCACAAACTATCCCAAATGAATAACAGTACAACCACACCAGAAAATAAGAATATATATATATATATATATATATATATATGCATTATATCATTTTATATTATTTTTAAAGAATGAGTCTCTTTACATTGAATCCACACTATACACCTGGAAAAAGGGTGGATTAAGAGGGAAGCATGCAGTTGCACAAGGAACATCAACTTAAGGAGGAAGCAATGGGAGGAAGGAGGTGGGGGAATGGGGGGGGGGGGGGGGGGCATTTGGCCCCCTGTTACCGTAAGGGGGAGAGGAAATCCATGAATGAAAAGGAAAGGGAAAAAAAAGGAAAAGGAGAGGAACGGAAAACCTTTGGAGAAAAGGAGGAGGGAGGGATGGAGGGTTCCCCCATGGGGAAGCGGGGGGGTTGGTTCCCATCACGGGGGTGCCCAGGGAGGGAAACGGGCCGGGGGGCGGGGGGCGGGGGACCTCCCTCCTCCTCTTCCATTGATGTATGAGTCTGTAGTATGTAAGTAGGTATGTATGTGAGCCATGACATCATCATCAACATCATCATCAACATCATCATCAACATCATCATCAACATCAACACAGACCCAGCAGGGCCCCCCTCTCCTTCCCCCATGGATTCCGCCTGTGCTCCTCTCTCTCTCTCTCCCTTTCTTTTTCGAACCCTTCTCCCTCCCTCTCCCTGCTCCCCCTACTCTCCGTGCTCTCCTCTCCCTCTCCCTCTTCTTGCGTGTGTGTTGTGAGTGTGTGCCCACCTCTCCACCTTCGCTTCACTTCTTCACGACATCATCAGCACTCTCCCCCAACCCCCAGGGAAGAGTGGGGAGCCTGCCTTGGGAACGAGTGAATGAATGAATCCATCCATCCACCCCCGCACCGTCAAGTGCGGGGGTATCACGAGTCCAACTCGCCCCCACCCTCTCCTCTCTCCCTTCGCCTCTTACCACGCACTAGACGCAGATTCTGCGATGGACTGTCGTTCCGCCGGATCCAGTCATCGGCACCCTCCGAACCTGGAGCGCAAAATACGCTTCTTGCACCACAAATCATGTAGCAGAAGGAGAAGAAGAAGCTGCAGCATTAGCATTAGAAGTAGCAATAGCAATGCTCCTCCCCTGCAGGTGCCATGGTAGAGAGGGATTGGCGGTGGGATCCGACGCGGGCGAGGGCGCTTCTCCCTCCGTGTAGCTATGGAGGGGGGTTGCAGCAGTAAAGGGAACGGAATGGAAGCACAGATTGAGATAGTGAGAGAGTGGGGGGTTGGGTTGGGGTTTAGGGTGGTGGAAGTGAAGAAGGGAGTGAGTGTGGCTCTCTCTCACACTCACTTTCAATCGGACGACGAGGCAAACGGAGGAGGGAGGGAGTGACTGACTGTGCGTGAGTACTGCTGCAAATGGAATGGATGGATGAATGGAGGAATGGATGAACGGATGGAAAGGGGGACATTTGGTCACTTAGTCACTCCCACCGCTCCATTCTCTCTTTCTCTCTCACTATTCCCCCTTTTCTTTTTCTTTCTTTGCCATTTTCTTACTCCCTCAAAGTCACTGTAAAGCTTAACATGCGGAGCAACATGTGCCAGATTGTTGTATTGTTATTATCAATATTATTATAAAAAATAATAATATTACTCAAAAGGACAAATGAAGAAAGTGATAAGATTGAGAGCCCCTCCCTTGCTCCCCACTTTTCACATGTTGTCGATTGAATTTTGTAAGACTACTTGGGAAAGAAAAAAACAATCTCATGCACACACTTGTTTATTATTCTCTCCCTCTCCCTTTCTCTCTCTCTTATAATTTTCACATTTGTGATATTCAGTGTGGTGTTTGATTCTGATGCTCATGGTGGATTCTGTTTTTTTGTGGAACAAGGTGGAGGCCTATGCTATGATGGATCATTCCTATGCAACTCATATACAATTAGGTTCAAAATTGTGTTTTTTTCACTTACAAAATACCACAACCTTATATATATATATATATATATATATCAAAGAATGTATTATCATAATTTTAGGAAACAAAAATACCAAAAACATCAGATTATGTATTTAAGTACCAATCTAAACATGCAATACATACATATCATTGATATGAAAATAAATCAATGTTTTATTCTAATGTTTATATCACTATTTATTTTATTTATTGTAATAGATACAAAACATATACATCTAATTTGAAGAGAAATAAATAGCTGATTATTGCCATGATATGAAAAAATCATTAATTATGAAAAAAAATCAAGAAATAAATTCATCCAACTAAAGTTATTATTAGTATTATTCCTATGCATAGTATTTACAAGGTTTAAGACTTTTATATAACCTTTTAGTGCCTTGCTAAATAAGCTACTAAAATTCCATTTAGAGAGAAGCTAATTAATAAGGCTTGTCAATTAAATTATTAATAAGAATCTTCATATAAAAAACTTCAAATAGGACTTGACATCTAATTATTTTATTAGAAGATTTTAGAAAGATACTATCATACTATCATGACTATTATATCTTATCTTACATAAAACAACTTATAAGAATACAAATATATAAGATAAAGAAAAGGAGACCAAAACCCTCTTTGATTTGCTACATGTCTTATTTTTTTCATCAAAAGTGAAGCAAAATTGGAATTCACAAGACTTTAATAAAATGTGAAACAAATGAAATTTTGGATGGACAATGTATTACAAGTATAAATCTACCAGCTATTAAATTGATGACTAAAAATTGGATATTCCTTCAATCATATAGAAAGTGCAGTTGTAAACAATGAATTGGTGAGGATTTGTCAATATTGATGATCAATACAAATTTATATTGGAGTTAATATGATATCAACCAATATATTAATTTGATGATCTGTATCATTAGCCACAAAAACATATTAATATGATGATGTAAACTATTGAATCAATAGGTTTTTATAATAATTATTATTTTAGATGATTGTGGAAACTTATGCATAGTTGTAGAAGGCAATATAATGAAAATTGAAGTTTCTACCAAACAAGTAATTTATAAGATACTAACTCTCTCAACTCTTAAAGCACATGG